ACTTGGTCCAGCAATGTCTGCTTACACCTACAATAGGGGCCGTCTCAACAAACATGGAGGTTGTTTTCACTATGGGCACTATGAGAGGGAGAAGGAGTGAAATATATCTTTGACTCGACTTCACTTTCAAAGGATTACATTGTCCATTTGTCAATAACATTGTTGATAAGTTTAAGTTTTCATTTTAACTCATTCAGAGAGAGAGCTGTGACAGTCATGTCTGTTATAACATCCTTGAAGGATGACATGTGTACTGACACGTCAGCTTAACAGACCATACGCATCAGCAAATGTTTACAAATGATTAAATATATGCACATAAAAATCATTTCTGTTCTGCTATGTGCTTTCATTTGTCATGTTTAGAGACTCAGGTCCATTCTTGGTGTTCCCCATCATGCTAGTGCACCACACCCAATCAACCCCACTGGGTGAACTTCTGACAACATAAAATTGTTTGATTGTGTCACAGCAAATATATCTCATGGTTAAATTTTGGAATATTCATTTGTGAACAAAGTCTGGGTTAAATTCCCCACATGGGTACAATGTGTGAAGCCGGTCTCCCCCATCATGATAGCGCTGGAATATTGCTAAAAGTGGCGTGAAACCAAACTCATTCACTCACTATGAACACAGTCAGGACCAGGCTAGCTATTAACGTTTCGAGAATAGCTAGCCAGGGTCCCTATCAACAGTCCGCCTGGTCTCCACAACGTATATCGTGCAGTATTTCTATAAAAGATTACCATTACATTGGGATAAATCAAGCTCAACTGAGAGCAGTCAGCCATAAATGTCCACCCCAGGATTGACTGCTTAGTGTTAGGGAAAGTTATGTCATCAGATAAATGGTGAATGCAGGAGAGCTTGTCAGCAGCATATGTAGATGAAGCATGCATAGATAAAGCATTGTCACGTGTCGGCAGATCCGTGTCGAACAATGCTGATATGAACACAACTGATAAGTGTTACTTCCTTCCTTGTAAGGGAACTAAAGAGCTGTTTGAAAGGAACACAGCTGATGACAGTTTGACCTGCCATGCATGTGGCGGACGCATACAAACACCAGCAAAAGACCAATTCTTGTCACGAGTATTTCCCCCAGGTATCAGTCAAACATTGAAAATATCATCCAGGGTTTAGTTGAACATTGAAGGAATCCCCACAGGGATCAGTCAAACATTAAGGCAATGCCCAGGGATATGTCAGACATGAAATGAATCCCATGAGGGATCAAACATGAAAGGGAATTCAACAGGGATCAGACAAACACTTTAGGAATCCCCCAAGAATTAATCATTGAAGGAATCCCAGGGATCAGTCAAGCCTGAAAGGAATCCCCAGGGACCAGTCAAGCCTGAAAGGAATCCCAAGGGATCAGTCAAGTCTGAAAGGAATCCCCAGGGATCAGTCAAGCCTGAAAGGAATCCCCACTGGATAGGGATCAACAAGCCTGAAAGGAATCCCCAGGGATCAGTCAAGTCTGAAAGGAATGCCCAGGGATCAGCGAAGCCTAAAAGGAATCCCCAAGGATCGGTCAAGCATGAAAGGAATCAACCAGTGATCAGTCAAGCCTGAAAGGAATCCCAAGGCATCAGTCAACCTTGAAAGTAATCCCCAAGGATCAGTCAAGCCTGAAAGAAATCCCCAGGGATCAGTCAAGCCTGAAAGGAATCCCTAGGGATCAGCCAAGCCTGAAAGGAATCCCCAGGGATCAGTCAAGCCTGCAAGGAATCCCTAGGGATCAACAAGCCTGAAAGGAATCCCCAGGGATCAACAAGCCTGAAAGGAATCCCCACTGGATAGGGATCAACAAGCCTGAAAGGAATCCCCAGGGATCAGTCAAGCCTGAAAGGAATCCCCAGGGATCAGCGAAGCCTAAAAGGAATCCCCAAGGATCGGTCAAGCATGAAAGGAATCAACCAGTGATCAGTCAAGCCTGAAAGGAATCCCAAGGCATCAGTTAACCTTGAAAGTAATCCCCAAGGATCAGTCAAGCCTGAAAGGAATCCCCAGGGATCAGTCAAGCCTGAAAGGAATCCCTAGGGATCAGCCAAGCCTGAAAGGAATCCCCAGGGATCAGTCAAGCCTGAAAGGAATCCCAAGGCATCAGTCAACCTTGAAAGTAATCCCCAAGAATCAGTCAAGCCTGAAAGGAATCCTCAGGGATCAATCAAGCCTGAAAGGAATCCCAAGGCATCAGTCAACCTTGAAAGGAATCCCCAGGGATCAGTCAAGCCTGAAAGGAATCCCTAGGGATCAGCCAAGCCTGAAAAGAATCCCTAGGGATCAGTCAAGCCTGAAAGGAATCCCTAGGGATCAGTCAACCTTGAAAGGAATCCCTGGGGATCAGCCAAGCCTGAAAGGAATCCCTAGGGATCAGTCAAGCCTGAAAGGATTCCTCAGGGATCAGTCAAGCCTGAAAGTAATCCCCAAGGATCAGTCAAGCCTGAAAGGAATCCTCAGGGATCAGTCAAGCCTGAAAGGAATCCCAAGGCATCAGTCAACCTTAAAAGGAATCCCCAAGGATCAGTCAAGCCTGAAAGGAATCCCTAGGGATCAGCCAAGCCTGAAAGGAATCCCCAAGGATCAGTCAAGCCTGAAAGGAATCCTCAGGGATCAGTCAAGCCTGAAAGGAATCCCTAGGGATCAGCCAAGCCCGAAAGGAATCCTCAGGGATCAGTCAAGCCTGAAAGGAATCCCCAGGGATCAGCAAAGCCTGAAAGGAATCCCCAGGGATCAGTCAAGCCTGAAAGGAATCCTCAGGGATCAGTCAAGCCTGAAAGGAATCCCTAGGGATCAGGCAAGCCTGAAAGGAATCCCCAAGGATCAGTCAAGCCTGAAAGGAATCCCTAAGGATCAGCCAAGCCTGAAAGTAATCCCCAAGGATCAGTCAAGCCTTAAAGGAATCCTCAGGGATCAACAAGCCTGAAAGGAATCCTCAGGGATCAGTCAAGCCTGAAAGGAATCCTCAGGGATCAGTCAAGCCTGAAAGGAATCCCTAGGGATCAGCCAAGCCTGAAAGGAATCCTCAGGGATCAGTCAAGCCTGAAAGGAATCCCCAGGGATCAGCCAAGCCTGAAAGGAATCCCCAGGGATCAGTCAAGCCTGAAAGGAATCCTCAGGGATCAGTCAAGCCTGAAAGGAATCCCTAGGGATCAGGCAAGCCTGAAAGGAATCCCCAAGGATCAGTCAAGCCTGAAAGGAATCCCTAAGGATCAGCCAAGCCTGAAAGTAATCCCCAAGGATCAGTCAAGCGTTAAAGGAATCCTCAGGGATCAACAAGCCTGAAAGGAATCCCCAAGGATCAGTCAAGCCTGAAAGGAATCCTCAGGGATCAGTCAAGCCTGAAAGGAATCCCTAGGGATCAGCCAAGCCTGAAAGGAATCCTCAGGGATCAGTCAAGCCTGAAAGGAATCCCCAGGGATCAGCCAAGCCTGAAAGGAATCCCCAGGGATCAGTCAAGCCTGAAAGGAATCCTCAGGGATCAGTCAAGCCTGAAAGGAATCCCTAGGGATCAGGCAAGCCTGAAAGGAATCCCCAAGGATCAGTCAAGCCTGAAAGGAATCCCTAAGGATCAGCCAAGCCTGAAAGTAATCCCCAAGGATCAGTCAAGCCTTAAAGGAATCCTCAGGGATCAACAAGCCTGAAAGGAATCCTCAGGGATCAGTCAAGCCTGAAAGGAATCCTCAGGGATCAGTCAAGCCTGAAAGGAATCCCCAAGGATCAGTCAAGCCTGAAAGGAATCCCCAGGGATCAGTCAAGCCTGAAAGGAATCCTCAGGGATCAGTCAAGCCTGAAAGGAATCCTCAGGGATCAGTCAAGCCTGAAAGGAATCCCCAGGGATCAACAAGCCTGAAAGGAATCCCCAGGGATCAGTCAAGCCTGAAAGGAATCCCCAGGGATCAGTCAAGCCTGAAAGGAATCCCTAGGGATCAGCCAAGCCTGAAAGGAATCCCCAGGGATCAACACGCCTGAAAGGAATCCCCAGGGATCAGCCAAGCCTGAAAGGAATCCCCAGGGATCAGTCAAGCCTGAAAGGAATCCCCAGGGATCAGTCAAGCCTGAGAGGAATCCCTAGGGATCAGCCAAGCCTGAAAGGAATCCCCAGGGATCAGTCAAGCCTGAAAGGAATCCTCAGGGATCAGCCAAGCCTGAAAGGAATCCCCAGGGATCAGTCAAGTCTGAAAGGAATGCCCAGGGATTAGCCAAGCCTGAAAGGGATCACCAAGGATCAGTCAAGCATGAAAGGAATCAACCAGTGATCAGTCATGCCTGAAAGGAATCCCAATCATCAGTCAAGCCTGAAAGGAATCCCCAGGGTTCAGTCAGTCTATGAAGGAAATCAGTCAAACATTGCTTTATGGGGCCTCAGACAAATACCAAAGTCATTTATTGGCAGCTATGTCAATATATATTACTATTTACTATCCTCTAATTTTCAGTATGCTTCCCAGTCAGGTGCCCAGACCTTGTAACAAGCGTCATGTCCCACGTTATATTGAGACATTATCTGCGTTAAATCAGGGTAATCCTTGACAGACAGACTGATATACAGCTTAAATGAGTGAGTGAGTGAGTTATTATTTAACGTCACATCGCCAATATTTCAGCCACATCGTGACGACAGCTTAAATGAGAGTTACCTGGCACATATTGTGAGAATTCAATTAATGAAACTTAATTGCTAGGACCATCAGTTGAGTCAAGTCAAGGCACAACTTGTTATCACGAAAATCGCAATTGTTCATAATTACAACAGCAAAATGACGAGTGGTTAGGACATTGCCCCTGACAAACTAATGTATTCCAATCACTAATGATCCTGACGATTAATCATCCCTGGCACTACCCGGACCAACAAGGCAAACGCAAAACACGTACCCGTCCATCAATCCCACACCCCACACATGTGTAGTCTGTTGACGCCGGTAGACTAGTTCCCCTAGACTACAATGTTATTTTACAATCTAGAAAATGTTTACAGGTGTACTTACGTTTTAACTTGGAGCCGAGCGAAAACAGTTCGGGAATTGACCTTGATCTTCCACCGCGGTTCTGCTTGTCCTTTGGACTTGAGGATAATGACTTCCCAAAATACGCCGCATCAAACTGCTGCAGTTCCTTTGGAGACGCCGGTAATGGAAACCCATCAGTGTCCCCTGAAATAAACAGGTATTCATAGACTCGGCCTTACAACATCTAAACTCACAGGAGTTGATGTAGATGGATTATTGCAACCGGAAACTTTACAGAAAAATCCCATGGTTCGCCTCAGATCGCGTTCGAATCTGACGCCACCGTACAAGACACCTTTAACTTTAATGTCGTATGTCTGATCAGATCGGTATGACATGGTTCATATTGACAGAAGACATTCAGTTAGTGGGTATGCGGAGGTCTGGGAATTCCCCACTTGCTACACGCTTGAGTAAGTTCAAACTTAGCAATAGTTCAGCTGTTTTCGGTTCATCATGTGAGAAAGCAAACGAATTTGCACTCAATACTGACGATTTACCGTACCCCAGGTACGTTTCTGTATACAGATATGTACCCTAAACAAAGTCAAAATACAGAAACGTACCCGGTACCCTAAAAGGCGGACGAGTCCATATTCCACAATCCAAACCCGAAACCGTATGTAGTTGTTCCTGTTCAACTGATTGCGAGTGGTATGCATATGCATCGCGAAATATCCGTTACTGTGTATTCTCATTACTTCCATAAAGCAATCAAATGTATCTAATACAACAACATGACAGTTCTGATCAAGAATACGACACAATGGGAATGGAATCGTCCTAGGGTACGTTTCTGTATTCTCATTATGGCCAGGGTACGTTTCTGTATTCTCATTATGGCCAGGGTACGTTTCTGTATTCTCATTATGGCCAGGGTACGTTTCTGTATTCTCATTATGGCCAGGGTACGTTTCTGTATTCTCATTATGGCCAGGGTACGTTTCTGTATTCTCATTATGGCCAGGGTACGTTTCTGTATTCTCATTATGGCCAGGGTACGTTTCTGTATTCTCATTATGGCCAGGGTACGTTTCTGTATTCTCATTATGGCCAGGGTACGTTTCTGTATTCTCATTATGGCCAGGGTACGTTTCTGTATACAGAGCGTGTATCTGTAGGACCCGGGCCGACAACGACCCCCAGCATAAGTATAAGATGAATGGCGCTGAATATGAAATTGAATCTATACGATAGTGGTACAGGTCCAGTCGTAAAACTAAACACACTCACTTTATTTCCAGTTGTATATACACCTGACCACGTTTCAAGAGTTAATTTAAGAAACTATTACTTTCGACAAATGTACACATTGAGTACAACATTGAATATATCAAAGTCAAGAAGTCTCTTGATCCTGAACGATTATTTGTTTATACGTCGTGACTATAGGGATATGTGATATCTTGAGCCTGACACAAGTCTTACGAGAGATAATTCATGAAGTTCACCCACCTACACCATGGATCAGAGCATGCCAATATAACACGTATCCTCGAAGCGTGGCAACAACAGACTTCACCTGACAAGCGTCTGTTCTAAAAAAGGCCAACTGTTTCTAAAAGTACGCCGTGTGTATCCACAAAGTTCATTAATGAACATCAAAATGTGACACCCACATTCACAACATACGGTCGTCCGCCATGCCGTGGAGGTACCAGCCCTCGCCACTACTGAATGAATGGCTGCCTGAGATGCGAGACCCCGGTCCTTGGGGCAGAGACGTGAGACCTTGTGACATGACCATCACCTAGGATTACCCCGCTAATACGCTTTGGTATTTCACAAGCCCTACAGCATGGCGCAATGGACGATGGGGCTGCAACATTTAACATCTGCAGATGCGACATACCGGACAGGATTTGGCAAATTACGGATAATGTTTACTTCAGAGCTTAAGGAAGTGAGAGGGCGAATAAACATAATACGTATTTTGTTATCAGAGAATGGAATCAGAAAGTTTGTTCCCCTTTGAAGTCGTTGCAAAGCGACAAAATGAAGAAATCAATTCCTGAAATCAGTACTATAACTTGTTTACAGTCGAGTCTATTATATCTGATCTTATAGGAACACATTACAAGTGCTTCATCCCAACACGGGAGAATAGAAGAAGACTCTTTGAGTCAAATGTAATATATATATATGGATGCAAGCGGCCACAGTGCCAAAACGTAATCATACAACTTGCACCTTAATGGCTTGACACGTCGAAACGTCTGTACAACTGTCACATGGATGTACATCGTCAATAGTGTTTGTCATTAGCTGATACCACAAGCCGCGTCCATGTGTACAGCTATGTGTACACGTCCTATGGACTGTCTGGTTTTAAAGCGCCCCATGTGTAACTAGGGACACACAAATTGGAAATGTGGACTCGATTACGGTAAGAAAAATCGCATCTTGCAATAATTTGAAACACAGAAAGATTTTAATGAATCAGACTTCCTCTAAATTAAGCGGATAGCCTCTTTCAGTCAAGGTCAAGGTTTGACCCAGGTGTTGGTTGTAAGTAATCCCCTCACAATGTGCAGGCCTCGGACATAAGACCCGATCAGTATACAAAGGGATTATTAAGTGTCGCCAGGTCCCTATACGTGTAGCACTTTGGTGGCAAGGGAATGAAAGAAAGGAACAAATTAATCAGATACGTAACACTTTGAATCCATAAGGAAAAGGGATCGTATGTGAATAAATAGGCGAACGGACAAAGGAATCGATATGTGGTGCTATAAATACTAATGGATTTTAAAGTATCACCAAAGACGTACATAGAATGTATGTGCGTCTTTTTGCATCAGAGATGAAGACGTCGGTAATAATTTACTTGAGCAAGGGGCTTCCTGGTCCTACATGTATACAACTGGAACTCTCGTTTGAATAACGATTGCAATTAGTAGGGGAGACTATTGAGGGGAAACAACTATTGTGATGGCGATAGTCTACTGCGACCAACTATTGCAATAGTTATTTTCTCCTTGAATTGTCTCATTTGAACTCATTTCCCAAATGACTGTATAGTTTATATGAAATAAAAACAAGCTGAAATAGTTTAAGACTCTTTTAATAACTGACAAGAAACTTGAAACCCAGAAACTTGAAACTCAATGAAGCTGCAAGTCTGCACCCAAACAATAAAAAAAATACAAAACAACATAATTATTTCATACATAATTTGAGCTGCACGTTTATCAACGAAAGTCAATTACTAATCTATCGATAGTCACACATACTATCGATATATCGATAGTTTTTCATTTCTACCATCGATTAATTGCTATCGGAGACTGAATAATTACAATCCATTGCTAGTTCGATGCATCGTTACAGCCCTAGTAATTAGAGCATTTAAACATTTGCTGACAAATTTAACTAGCCTTATTTTATCACAATATCATCGCAAAGCAATCTTTGCTCCAAGCGCTCTATTGTTGCCGCTGGGCTGTTTCTGTAGTTTATTGATTACAGCGGTCGTCTGCTCCGCGCTGCTCCTCCACGTGCAGACTGTTGCGACGGCGGGAGGAACAGCAGTATACCTGCATCTGCTACAGCTCATCTCGACCCAGACCAGCGGTCACTTCGGCTGCTGAAGCTGCGGTGATGGGGGAGATGGGATTGTGCCAAACTGTAGTGGCAGTTAATGGTGTAACACTTTGTGCTGAAGAAAGTCGCCTTGTCAGAACAGCCCTGTCCACCCTAATAATTAAACCTCGTGGATTTGAAAATATTGGGCCCCTCCCTGCTGTGATAATGTGCAGGAAAGGTCCACTGGCGAAATCTTTATTACCAGTATGGCGTGCACTTAAGAACACCAATTTCACATGCACTAAACGCTCGTACAGAGCAGAGCCAATACAACAAATGTCGTTTATCTCAAGTAAAGGTACTTCTGAGAGGCAGGCAAATATAATGAAGCCCGCTTTGATTACATACCGGCTACTTTCATTATACAAAGATAGCCTGTGAGTTGTGTGATGTATTATCTGCTGGTCAGTTTAATGAGGGCTTGAATAACAACTGCATCAATAACGGACTTGAAGCAGGAAACGGCGTGTCACTATCCCCAGTAGTCTGTCATACAGACCCTGAAACAAATATATCCAAGAAAGCCCATGCAAGTTAAGAATATGTGGCAAGTCTAGATTTCCACAGTTCCTGAAAATGAAGAAAGTCTCAGGGCTCCTTTTTGTTATATTTTATTTTTTGTATTATGAACTTTTTTCTCTGTAAAATGTTCATTTCAGAGACTAGTTGTTAGTCTATATCCCCAGCCACGGGACACATTAGAATTATTTTGTTCATATAGTAATGCATGAAATGGTAGTAAATGATAACTGTAAACCAGAGTCCCATAAAGCCTTTTGTAGAGATAGCACGGAGGTCGCTTTGCGTCATTAGAATAAAATGATTAAATGTGAAATAAATTCAAAGTCACCTTTCCTAGAAAGAAATAATTTATGGCACCTATTCAGTCTGGTGTAACTTTAGTACCTTTGAGAACACGTGTCCCTACTCAGACATCTGTAACTGTGTGTGCTCAACATTAAAATACCCACGTAGCAAGAGAAATAACTGAAGAGTAAATTATGGCACCATCTTTCGAATTATAGTTATCTCTTTGATAAACATGCAAAGTTCAATTCATGTAACTTCAGTAGTTTCAGAGAAAACGTCTTCCCACTTCACAGTATGCGATAAACTGTGTGGAGCAATGGCCATAACTCTGTAACAAAAACTTAGGACCTAAAAAACCCATTTTAGATCGTGACGGTGACCAGTAAACATCATTGTAGGAATTGTGAGTTCTCCATCTTAAATAGTTGAAAATTTGTCCCCAATTAGAAACGGACGTGCGAACTTCATTCCAGTATCCCCTCCCCGGCGGAGGATATAGCTGTGAAATACATCATATAAAGACTTTCGGAGGGTTTACGGCACATGTTTCACATGTGACAAATTTCAATGGATGATGGTTATCAAGATAAATCACCACGCAGGTGAGAAGTAATACACATGCTTGTAACAATTTGTCTTATCAATGATACAATGAGCTAGTTGAGTGAGTAGTGTTTTACACCGGCCTTAGTCATATACCAGCAGGTGGCCACAAGGAGCATCAGAAATGGGCTTCACACATGGTACCC